CTCTGAGTCTATGATATTCTCTTTACTCCTAGTTGTAGAATTTCCACTCAGCCAGCCCTCCTGTGGTTCTGGATGTTGTCCGTTCCCTGTTTCAGGCTTAATTTGAATTGGTTGTTCAAGGCAGCAATCTCCGGCGTTAACCTATGCCGCCATCTTCGGTTCTCTCCTCCTAATTTTAGTTTTTTATTCTCATTTCTGTATAGTATTCCAGTGTATGAATATTTTATGACTTATTACCCATTCTAATGTATGTAGATATTTGGATTGGTTCAAGGTTTGGCTGTTTGAATAATGCTGCTCTGAACATTCTTTTACATATCTTTTGGCAAATATATATGTGCATTCTGTTGGTTATATACATAGGGGTAAATTTGCCCTCATTTAGTAAGTAGATGCTCACTTTTAATAGGTATTTCCAAATAGTTTTCCAATGTGCTGGTCAGTTTACACTGTTAACATCAGTGTTTGGATGTACCAGGTCCTCTACATTTTTATCAACACCTAGTATTGTCTGTTTTTCTTTTTATCCCACTTTAAACCTTTTATTTGCTAGCTCTTTTTATATTGACTTTCTTATCACAAAAGAATATGGCTGTAATCTTTTCATAAATATTAAACAATTAATTTCTGCCAGGGTTCATGTCCTAGCATCAAGAAGGGTTCAGGAATCTGGAAAAGGCTGTGCGTAGATGACCTAGGAATCCAGAGACTAATAAAGAGTCTGGAGACGAGTTATAATTTTGAAAGGCATTGGGGGTCAGAGGACCTTCAGCTGAAGGAACTGAAGAGTGCCTCCTTGTCTAGGACCCTTGCTTTTATTAACACAATTTGTCCTAAGGCAAGGCGGAGATAATACACTTCAATGGGTAAGGTTTCAAAGGGTACAGAGTCCATTGTCGGGATTGGGGAATAGCCTACAGCTGTTCAGGTGTTTGGCCAGTAGGAGGCAATACCATGTAGATTAAGATGCCCTTTAACTGTCTGGCAGCCACAATCAGTTTCCTATTCGGGTTTGGGGATATGCCTTTAGCCATTTCCAACAGGTGACCACATGTGTGATTCAACCCTGTTGAGTCCCCAAGTCTCATCAACCTTTTGACGAAACTCTTGAAATTATGACATGCTGGAATTGGTCTACGGCAAATTTCCTGCTATTATTGTTTAGTACCTAGAACACTTAAACTTCTCTCATCCATCCTTCACATAGCTATATCACTATTTTCCCTTACTTCGCTGCACAAACTGAAACCTCCATTTCTTATTCCACTAGCAATAGTTTCTTCTAATTTGCTGTATGAGAGAAAATAATAGAATTATTATTGTTTCTGTTAACTGTTTCTCACTTACACTTTCAAACCTCTTTCAAATGGATCTTTACTTCTATATAGTCAAGGTTGCTGTTCTATGTCTTTTCTACTTTCGTAGGATAGGGCAGTTTGCACCCAAGTTTCTGTCTAAGTGGAAGTTGTGACAAGGTGTTCTGTGTGAATCAGTTCAGGGCCAGGTTTATAAAATAACAGATCTTACTTTAGGGTGCATTGTAATAAATAGGCAGGGAGCTCTTCAGCACTTGGCCCTTCAAATGACAAAAGATTTTATGCTGGGATTCCAAGATTCACTAAGTATCTTAGTGCTCTCCAGAAAACTCCTTTTATTTCTTTAGAAATGAGCCTTACAGTTTTTAAAAGTAGGTCATGAGGGGAAATAATAATTATTAAAAATTATGTTATATATAATGTATTATTATTGTTATACACTGTCTATATACTTGGCTGTTTTCTAAATTATTTACACATATCTCGCTTAATCCTCAAAATAATGGTACAATTGACATCCCTATTTTAGAGATGGACAAAGTAGGACATAAAGAGTTCAAGTAGCCCTAACCAGTTTGGCTCAGTGGATAGAGCATTGGCCTGTAGACTGAAGGGTCTTAGGTTCGATTCCGGTCAAGGCATGTACCTTGGTTGGGGGCATATGCAGGAGGCAACTGATTGATGTTTCTCTCTCATTGATGTTTCTAACTCTCTATCCCTCTCCCTTCCTCTCTGTAAAAACAAATCAATAAAATGTGTATTTTTTAAAAAAGAGTTAATGTAAACTGCCTAGATTACTTTAGTAAGTGGTGGAATCAGGATTTTAAACCAGGCATCCTGACTCCAGATACATTGCTTTTTCGTTTTTGCTTTCTCTAGTTTTAAATCTATTAAACATTCAAAAAGTGTACAGAGTGTATATGTGCGATTTAAAATAAAAATAATAAAATGTTCACCCATGTACCTATCACCCAGTTTAAGAATGAGAACAATGCAAAGACATTGGAAACCCCTGTGTGCTTCCATCATTAAATCTTTTATCTGCATGAAAATCAACACTTATCCTGAATCTTTAATTAATTATTTATTTTTTTACAGTTGCAGCGGATATGCATATATCATTGTTTAGCTTTGTCTATTTTTGCAATTTATATAAGTAGATTAATGTAGTATGGATCATCTGTGGGCTTACTTATTTTTATCACTAGGTTTGAATTCATACATGTTAATGTAGCTCATTCATTAGAGTGCTCTATAGTATTCCACTGTATACACCTTTACCTTTACATTCATTTTACTGTTGACCTACTTTGGGGATTCTCTAAGAGTTTTGTTACTATGAAGAATGCTGCTATAAGCATTATGGAATATAGCTCATGCACTTGGGCAAGAGTTATTTTGGGGTAAATGCACATCTAGGAAGGTACTATCTGGGTCATATCAAGAACTGGAAAGATATAACAGTGAATGAAATAGTTAATAGATGCCAGCACCAAGGAGGCAGAGTGTTAGGATTATCTACAAAGATTTTTAGATGGACTTCAAAATATGCTTCGTGCTTATTGCAAATATGCTTGGCAACATGAAAAATTGAGAG